AAAATTAACCCCTACTACACTTTTAAATACTCCTAAATTATTAATTTCCAACATATTTCTATTTTTTATATATTTTAAATAAAATTTTATTTTAGTCACCAAATAGATTTTTAATAATTTTGCATTATTATATTTTTTAATAATTTTATATTATTTTAATTAAAAATTTAATATAATAATTTATTTTGATTTTATTTTTATTGGCTTATTCCAGTTTTAAAAAAAATTATTTTCATTATATTAAAGTTTTATTTTTTAAAATAAAATCTAAAATGAGTAGAAGAAATATAAATAAAAAGGTTAAATTTGGTTGAGAGCCGCAAAGCAAGCTTTTTTTTTTTTTCTTTACATTGTTCATTCGTAGCTTTATTATTATTGTTATTGTTATTGTTATTGTTATTGTTATTGTTATTGCTATTATTTTTATTACTATTATTTAGCTTATAAATTTTTCTCATTTCATTTATAAATTTTTTTTATGAAGATGTTTTTTAGCTTCAGATCTTATATATTTTTATTAAGATATATAATCTTTATTATATTTTATTACATATAAATATTGATCTTTAAATCTACCATTATTTATTTTACTCAAAGTTAAAAAACACGTTAATAATATCTATACATTAATTTTTTATGTTAGAAAAAATAATTATTCAATTTATATTAAAATGAGTTGAATAAACAGAGTAATTTTTTTATATATTTATTAACACAAATAGTTTGTAATTTATTTAATTAGATATATGTATATGATATTTTTTTATTTTTCATTGGGATTGTTTTGTACAAAAATTTATTTAAAAAGCTTGTACATGTTTTTTTTGTTAAAAAAATTACTCAACCTAAGTAACTAGTAAATACTAACTAACTTAAATTTAGGTTTTGAATAAAACTATATTTTTTCTAAAATTATTGAGCACTTTTTGTGTAGCTCTTTGTTATTTGGCTTTGTTTTCTCCTAAAATTTTAGTCTGTAATTATTTGTATTATATCATGATTACAAAAAAAAAAAAAAAAACCTCCAAAAAGTTCCAGTTTATTATTCTTATATTGTTTTAATATATCTACATCATGATCATCCAAAAATTATTTTTTAAATTTGCTTTTATAATTTTGTATCTAAAAATAAGTATTTTGATAAACAGATTGCCAAAGAAATACATTAATTGAAAGAAGATGTTTTAATTAAACATATGCTTTTTTTAATCCTTATTTTGGGTGTTCGAATTCTTTTGAATATTTATTATAACCTCCTCTGGGTTTTGTTAAACGAAGCACATTCATCAAGAAAATTATGTTTTTGGGTTGATCAGGTTGTGGTAATGGGTCCCCATCTATCCATCTTTATCACTTTTTTTTTTTCAGTTCAAAAAATAGAAAAGGGAAAGCACTCAACCCGAACATTCACGAAGATAATGAATTTAAATTTTTTAAATTTATCTTTTCGGATTTTTTTTTTATTTTTTTTAATGTTGATAGCAAGAACAAGCATACAGAGAATCTTCAAGGACCATGTTGTCTCTTTAGCATTGCATTAAAGTGTTAAATCGTTTGACACCTTAGCACGGACAGCAAGTCTAAAAAAATAATAGGATATATTTTTATGTTTATATATAATTAAGATATTATTTAATATTCAAATGAATTTATTACTACATGTATTTTTTTTTTGAAAATTATAAAAATAAAATGATTTTAAAGTATATAAATGATTGGAAAATAATTTTTTTAAATTACTACAAGTCTAAAAAAATAATTGTATTATAAGTTACTCATATGAAAGCTGAGTTTGAAGAGATTGTTTTAAACCATACATAATTTTTTTTAAATGATCCAGATAGAATATTTAAAAATAGATGGTTAATCCATGGATATATCTTCTTCAATATCCCCATGAAAGAATGTTTTTTTCACGTCTAATTGGTGAAGGAACCAAATATAACAAGTGATAAGATGAGCTGAATGGTGATGGGCTTGACCACCGGATTGTAAGTTTCTCCATAGTCTGAACTTGCTTGTTGGTGATAACCTTTAGCCATAAGACTTGCCCTGTATCTTTCGACGTATCCATTTGCCCATTGTTTTATCTTGAAAACCCATTTCCAGCCTACTAGATTCATATTGGGTCTTGGGGAAACAAGAATCATGTACCATTTTGCCTAAGGGCTGTGAATTCCTCATTCATAGCCGACGCCATGTTTTGAGAGTTGGGGAGAAATTCCATATACATCAGTAAACACTAAATCTAAAGGACCCTCTGAGGACAAATGAAAAGGGTGTTTGTGATTCTTCCCAGGCTGACAGGAATGACAGACATTATTAGAATTAGAACTAGGAACAACTAAATGGTGTTGAGATAAAATGTTCTGAATAACACGGAGAGAAAGATGGCCAAAACGATTATGACATTGATCAATACAGGCCTGAACATGGAGAAAAGCAGCAGGAGAATACTCAGAAAACTTTGAGAGCTGTTGTAATGGGTATAGACCAGTGGTACTCTTGCCTTTAAGTAGGAGGGATCCCTAGGATCAATCCTTGATATAGAAAAAGGATGGGAAAAATTCAAAATACACTTTGTTATCCTTGGTAAATTGATAAACTAAAATGAGATTTTTTTTTTTATACGGGGAACATGAAGAATATTTTTTAGAAAGAGAGATTTGGAAGGTTTTTTATACGGGGAACATGAATATTTTTTAGAAAGAGAGATTTGGAAGATGAAAAGAAATAAAAAGAACCAACATGATGAATATTCAAACCTTTTCCATTGCTAACAATAACTTGATCTTGTCCAGTATAGTCATAAGTCTGTAAATTCAAATTGCCCAAGTCAGATGTCATATGATGAGTAGCACTTGTATTAAGGTACCACGCCGATCATGCCATGGTGAAGTAGTTGTGACATAGACCTGAGGTGCTGAGGGAGTTTGGAATCCTTGATCAAATCTATACGAGCATTATGGAGCTGTGTGGCCAAGTCTAAGATAAATTTGGCAGATGGTACGAGAGGAGCCCGATTTATTTGTTGAAGAAATTGAGGGATTGGGAGGGCCACGACAAAGTCCACGCCCTCAATTCTTAGCACCACGGAAAGGAATACCGGAGAAAATTTGACACGGCCATTGTTTTTAGGAGAACGAACGGCTAGATTTGCAGAGATATCAATGGAGGCACATGTAACTCATGTGCAAGAAGATGGCCAAATAGTTCATCAATCCGCGTTGGTTCCAGATAGTGTTAACTGATGTAATATAAAAGGGTCATGCTCTGTTGGCAAGCTATCTAGAATATAAGAGATGAGCTCCGAATCTCCTAAAAGTTGTCAGGTGGTTAAAAGTATGTTAGCAAGGCCCTTGGCTTTTTTAAAGTAATCCTGGATTGAAAGACCACCTTTTTTAAGTACTTAGTTGACAGAGAGTGTCGGTTTGGCGAGCTCATGATGTTGTGAAGAACATTTTCTCCAAAGTGAACCAGACATCTCTAGAGGTTTCAAGACCAACAACATGGGTGAGGATAGGTTCAGAAAGGGAAGAGATGAGGGTACTCAAAATGAGCTGACCTTGCTCGTACCAAAAATCATAGGCGGGATTTGAAATGGAAATCTAAGTAGAGGTCGTGTGTAGCATTTTGGGAGGTGCGGACATAGTACCATCTACAAGCCTAAGGAGTTTTTTGCCACCGAGATAGGGGAGAAGTTGAGCTTTACATGGCAAGTCACAAGTTTGAGTGTCATATGACGAGTAGGATGTGTAGGGGTATAATTGAAGGTGAGATCAGAAGAGAAAGTGGTGGAGAACATGATGAACACAGAATGGATTCCTTGGCTCTGATACCATAAAGCAGATGAGTCTTTGAGATTTTATTTCACATAACTATCATTGGAAATTTATAAATAAACTTCTATTTTACAATGAATGGCAAATATGAAGAAAAAAAATGTAAACTCTCTCCTTTATTTTTATCCTATCTTATCGTTAGCAATAACCTTTGAAGAAGTGTCATGCTGATCTTCTGAATTTGAAGGGGTGTGGCTGAACAGGACGCTGTCTCAGTAGAGTCCAACAAAAACCATTACTTCCACCAAATCTTTGTGATGTTCTGATGTGGGACGCATTTACTGACGCCCGCGTTAACAGTGATGAGGGGGGACCCTCCTATGATAAATTGTTAAGAAGCACAAGGGCACAGTTTGAAGTTGACAAGGCCTGCAAATGCAATTGCAGCTCTGGTGTGATTACAGAGCAAATACATCAACCACTTCTATCATTGTACGCCTCGCAGCATTACCGTCTTCGAATTATGCTGTTTATCTTTGGTGTGCTCCCGTTACTGAAATCAAATTCAACCTTGCTTCATTTTTTCTCACTGGAGAGCCCTACTGTTACTGCAGTGACATTTTAGCCACCACAGCACTGCCGCTGCTTTTCTGCAAACCACCTGATAGGATCTGTGAAAAGTAGTTTGTGATTGTATACTATGAGCTTTTCTCACGCACCGAAATGTTAAACACAAATATATCGTATAGCTTTTGCTCTTGAATTCTTGTATATCAAAGCAATTTATTTATTCATTGTAGTCCGAAAGGGGGGGAAGAAAAAACTCAGCATATGCAATGCATTGAAGGGTTCATATATAACTGGACGATTTGGGTTATTGCTCGTGTATTTGCCTCTAAATTATCATGTTCCATAACATCATAAATTTCTTCATTCCATTTGAGATTGGTCCAAATTGATTTGATTCGTTCTGTGTATCAATTGCCATATACTATCTTTCCAATCGTGATTATAGATTGAAGAACTCTCTTCTCTAATGCCCCTTTGTGTGTATTCACAAACTGTCCGGGCTCCTATCCTCGTGGTGATTCTGGTCTTTGGCCATTAAGACTTAAGTAAACATCCCGTATAAACAAGTAAAGAAAGAGAAGCTAGCATAGATCAAATTCAAAAGGCTAGAGCAGCCAGAGCTTGAACAAAGATATTTGCGCATCATGATGTCATAGAAAAAGAGAAGATAACAGTGGAATTATAATTTATAAGTGCCAAGACACCTTATTTAGTAGTAAGATAAAAAAGAACAGACAGATTTGCCCGTTCTTACCCTGCAGCAAACTAATGAAGTTCAATCTCTAGTAACCAAAGAGCGAAATGGATTTGGATAATAGAGTATTCAAAATCTTTTATTCATTCTAGCCATATAGGCTGTATATAAATCCTTTGCAGTCACAGAGAAGAACAAAGGACCGGATTGAACTAGTTAGAAATTTAAATCTTCAATTCATGGAGTGGTGATACCTACAAATTAAGAGTGTGAAATAGAAAGTGTCAGCAAATGCACAAAGGGAAGGAGACATGGAAAACAAAACAAGGGCATGATAGGAGAGAGCTTACTCCCACACTTGAAGTGACGAGGAACCCTTCTACCACAACCTTCAACCAGCCGAATGGCTCGATCGAGGTCAATTAGAGCTGCCAGCTTTGGTGTGATAACGGGGCAGACACATTCAACATGGCTAACCCTTACACGCTCACAGCAAGCTGGTGATGGAAGCTTGCCATAAATAACTGGCTTGCAGGCATTAAGCCCAAGCCTCCTCTCCTCCTTGCATTGAGCAGCACTAAGTGCTGGATCAGCTTTATTCACCTCCCACATGCCCAAAACAACTACAACTAGTAGTATAAAGGAAGACCATCGCTTTGCCTCCATCTTTCCCGTCGCTACCTTTCCTTTTTCCTGCATTTCTTCCAATTACCGGCATCGAGAATAAATAGGCGCGGAGTGGGGTGTTGAAAGAAGGCTACTACTCTATGTTGTCAATGCCTGTGGAAACGTTTCACTCTGTACTTTGACTTTCAAAGTCTTAGCCTTTAGGCTCGTAGCCCCTTTGTGACTGATTGTCCTTGTATACTGGGGCGGTGACTCGAAGATGCACAAGTCCTTTTCATTTTGAGTTAATCATAACTTAGTCCCTGTAGTTTAGCAAAAATAATTAATGAGTCCTTATAGTTTTAGAAATTATTATTTGATCTTTATGTTATTATATTTATTTATAACTTAATCCTTTTCGTGCGTTTCATGTTTTTTTTCATGAACGTGGTTCACTAGGGCCTCGTTTATTTATAGGAAAGTAGTTTTTTTTAGAAAGTAAATTCTAGAAAACTAAATTCCAAGAAAGTGAATTATTTTCTAAGTTTTAAAAAGTAAATTCCAGAAAACTAAATTCTAAGAAAGTGAATTATTTTCTAATATTTGGTAGTATTATGAAAAATAAGTTGGAAAACACTTTCCAGTATTTGGTTATGTCATGAAAAATAAGCTGAAAAATAACTTATTAATGTTTTATTTTTCTTAAGTTTATTAAAATAATAAGGAATAAATCTTACAAATTAAAAGCTTGAATGAGAATGAAATTGAAAAAAAATAATTTCATAAATTATCTCAAATAAAATAAATAATAATCAAAATAATAAAGATCAAATCTAAAAAAAATGAAAGATGAAGAAATTAAAATAATAATAGTTAACATTTCATAAATTATTTTAAATAAAATAAGTAACAATCAAAAGAATGAAAACCAAATTTGATAAATAAAAAATTTCAATAAGAAAATGATAAAGAAAAAAACAAATAATAATTATAAAAATGAGGACTAAAGTTAATATAAAAAATAAATTTTAAGTGATAAAATTAAAAAATAAATATTCAAAACAAAATATATAGAGCAATCAAAAGTTTAAGGATCAAATTTGATATAATCAGCAATAATATGACATTTCTAAATTTTTCACAACTTCCGGAAAGTGTTTTCCACCCAAATTTTTCTAGAAAATATTTTCCTGGAAACCAAGCCAAATTTTCATTTGACTGTAAAGTATTTTCCATTGACCAACTTTTCTAATGACAAATAAACATAGGAAAATTTGGAAAGTGATTACTTGAAAATCACTTTCTGGAAAACAAACATGGCTTAGATTGCCTAACGTGGTGGATATAGAGAAGGGAGAAAGTCAATATAGACATAGCATATATGGTCATGGAATGTATAATAGAAAGATTTACCAAACAAGATGATGTATGTGAACATTTTTATAAGTTTAGATATTAATGTTATTTGTTATTATTTTATATCTATGTTATTTTTTATTCATTATATTTTATTGTTTAAACATATACAATTTATTTGGACTTATTTATATCTCATAAGTTAGTGTTGATACTTTACAATATTGTGCACTATAGGTGGTACATCAGTTTCACAGGGAGTCCACAGATATAATGAATCTTATAATCGACATATTAAAGATAATAGTTATATAGTTGGTCGCATTGATAATTTAGTTATGAGATTATAAGATAATCATAGATCGAAGGTCATGTAAGTAGGATGTGTAAATATATTTTTTTATTATATTTAATTATGTTAATATTTAATAGTTGTCATAGTATCACAATCATACTAATATTTATTTTTTTCCTTATTTTATGGGCCAACAATAAGATCTATTATTAGCAACATAAAATAATAATTTTGCATAAATGTATGGCACTATACATCATGTAGAAAAATTTCTATTACATCACCTACCTGCAATATATCAAGGAGGATCACAACTTGATTGGTGCATTACTCGAGAGATAGAGAAGTGAGATCCATAATGTTCCATCTACATCTAGGTAAGATGACACCTACACTCTAGAACATAGATGTTCTTCTTGGCCTACTCTTTAATGGATTACATATGTTATTGGGGAGTCAATAAGTAGGGTAGAGTTATGCTTAGGTATATTGGGATAAGTCCTTCTTTTATGTTGAAATGGCATGTCATCAAGTTAAAGTGGCTTGAGGATAGTTTTTCAACTCCATCACCTAATGATGTGAGTAAGAAAATATACCTAGGTTTGTTAGAGTACACATCTTATATATGTTAAACAACATCCTCTTTACGAGTCTAATTGACAATATAATGCTAGTGATATATTTGTTGTTATTAGAGAACTTTGATGATATTCATTATATAATTAGAAAATAGTATTTCTTGTAAATTTATACAAGTAACTATATCATTGATGCATAATATAGACTAAATAAGTTATGAATTGTTTGCTTTTTTTACATGTATAGTAATAAAAAAACAAAGTGTTTTGATTTATTATATATTTGTGTTGTCATAACAATGAATATGAGTAGTTTACTAATATTTTACAAGTTTTTTTTATAAACCTATAGTCTTAAAACCATCTCCATAAGGGGCGTCTTTAAGTTAGTGGTAGCCAGATGCTAAAACAAACTTTGAGGTTACCACTTTTATTAGGAGCGAGGTAATATATATTATGAAATATATTCTTATTAGCATATAAATTCTAATTAAATCAGAATTGTAATAGATTCATTGTTGTAGTGTTAGGTAGTATAAGATTAGGGTATTTATAGATAATCCAACCCATGTTATATTGTTTTACTACAGTGAATTAGATAGATAACAACATCATTAGACATAAGTTATAAAAATTATTTCAATTTTTTTGGGATAATTAAAAAAAAAAACTCTTATAGTTTGATTGCATTTCACTTTGCTCTTATACTTTTAAAAATTACACTTTATACACTAAGTCAACTCAAATTTTTAAATCAAATAAAATGATCAAACACCGCAAATCTTTTCCATTTCTTTTTTATACTATCCACCACTTTTTTTATTTTTTTCTATCTACTATTAACCATCATTATAAGTTTCATAGTAGTGTTAAGGTAAGAACCCTAAAATCCTTCTCCTATATTCTCGTTAGTCTTTTATCATTAACCACAACAATATGATTATTATTGTGTACCTCTTATATTTTTCTTCCATAATATTTTAATGTCATCGTCTTTTTGCTCATTAAATCTGCATATTCTTTTAATTTTATGGTTTCAAAAAAAAAAAGATCTTTAACCATCTTAGTCATTGTTAGATCAAGTATTATTCATTCTTTAATGAGTATGTCATTCTCGCTTACATAATGAAATTAAGTTGATGGAGGGATTAAGTTATACCGTGCACCAACCTTAAACATGTCATCTTTTTCAATTAAAGGAACAAGAGAGAAAAGAATCAGAACTATGTTGGGTATAACTAATTTGTAGCAAGTTATGTTTGTGGGTTTGGTGAAGAATTGCAAACTGGTTTGCTAAACAAGAGGTTTGCTAAAAAAGAGTTTATAATATATGGGTTTGGTGAACAATTGCTAAATTAAAGGAATGTTTTATGGGTTTTCTAATTGAATGAGTTTTTTTTATTTCAATGGCAAAGTTATAATATTAATATCAAAATGACTATATAGTCATAAAATAAAATATAATAGCAAACATGTAAATATTCAAATATTTTGTTTTTAGACTCTTTTTTGGCGCACAAGATTGAGGATGTAAAATGTTATTTAGCATATAAATCTCAGGATGTAAAATGTAATTTTTAAAAGCATAGAATAAAAGTGAAAATATGATCAAATTGTATAAGGTTTTTTTTGTAATTATCTCAATTATTTTTTTATGTCAAATTGTTTATAATAAAGTGTCTTATTTTGGTGTTTCAATAAGTTAAATGGACACCTTACTAAAAGCATAACCTTCTAATTGCTTTTCAAGTTTACATAAATGCTAAGGAAACATAAACATCAATATACCTTTGATATTTTTTTAGGTGGAGTTGCATTACTCCGATCATGTCATATGATGATTTTGGTGGTAGCAGCATATTTTAATTGATATTGATACAAAAAAGTAAGTTGCATACGATCAATTATAGTGAGAAAAATAATGATAATTGAATGCCAACACATTAACATTTTATCTCAAAATAACATGCATAAAGAGGGGATTCTACATTTATAATTATTTTTGGCATGCTGATTTGAGATATTATTATTTTTTAGCAAATTATAAATTTTTATTTTTATATTAAAGTAGTAGAATTTTAAAACATACATTCTAGGTGAATGAGTGAATAAAAGCATTAGGGTTAAATGAACCAATGAGATTTTATTGTTTTAGGCTTGCTAGTTTTAGGCTTGTTAGTTTTAAGAAATTATTATTGTTTAGAAGATTTTGAATTTCCTTAATTAGGTTGTTTATAATTTTAAAATAGGTTTTTTTCCAAATGAACAAAGACACATGATTGTGTAAGGTAATGAGACTATATAATTAAATTAATTATCATTCTTACTGTTTTATAGGTTAAGTTGGGATGTTATGAAAACCAAATTAATATTGTAACAATGATGATAAAAATTGAATAATGAAATGTTTAAAACTTTTACAATGGGTTAGGAAAAAGAAAAGGATTAATATTGAGAAAAATTGATTGGATCACAAATGCTATAAAAAATTATTGGGATGGGTTTAATACAAGTAACAGAGTTAAAAGAGTAACGAGATAGATTAGGGTTGGGTTTAGAGCATAGGGTATATGGTTTAGTTAGGGTTTTGCTTTGGGGTTTAGGTTAAAAGTTTGAGGTTCAGGTTTTAATTTTAAAGTTTGAATTTCAATGTTTTGATTTAGGGTTTGAAGTTGGAATTTAGGTTTGAGTTTAGGGTTTGGGTTTAGATTTGGATTTCGAATTTGGTTTTAGGTTTGGGGTTTGGGTTAAGATTTAGGATTTTAATTTTAGGATTTGAGATTAAAGATTGGGTTTTGGGTTTGAATTTTGTGTTTTGTTTTTAGGATGTGACCTAGGGTTTCAGGTTTAAGGTTTGGATTTGTGTTTGGATTTGGATTTGCAT